AACCAGGAGCGATGTGTACAGTTTTGGTATTATTCTTTGGGAATTGCTATCAAGGAAGATACCCTTTAATGATACAACAGACCAAATCCTCGCATCTATGATCTTAAGCGGTGAGAGAGAGAGCTAACCAAAATTCGATCAATTAACTTCTTTAACTAATTTACGATGTTAATTTTAAAGGTAAACGGCCCGATCTGGAGGAAATGAAAAAATATCGATATATTGAAGTATTGCGAAGTGTGATCAAGCAATGTTGGAATGAAGATCCAAACAAACGGCCCGCAGTGAACATTTTGAATCTTATATTCAAATACGATTATGACGAAATTAAAATATTAGAGCGTATTTAAAAAAAAATGGAGTCGAAGTAAAATAAAACCCGGAAGTATAACGCAAAGGAAATATAGAGACTATATTTCAAATGTGAGAAACTATGTAATTCGGACTATATATTTTAATAACTTGTTATTTTTATAACCTTATATGGCTTATCATCTCATCGTCATCATCTGATTATAGAGTATGCCGGAAATGGAACTTTCTAAACGTTCACAAAACAATTTTTAATTTTACTCAAAGCCTGTGCTCACCAGCTATTAATAATTAGATACCAGGAAACGAATCTGAGAACTCAAAATCAGCTGATTTACGCTAAAAATTTGCGATGTCAATAGCTATGCTATTGTATTCTGGTAAGTAACTGTCATTAAAAGTAAGGAAAACTATGAAAAGGGCCATGAAATCATATCATATATTAGTTTAGTGAAATGTCCGTTTTGTTGCCCGCTCGTATAAATGTAAAGCAATTAAAACAATAAAGACTTCCAAATTTCAAGTCTATATATTCGCGGGTGGCCTCACATATAGAAATATCAAGATATTTTAAATACGTCCACTAAGTTGAATGCATAACGTAATATAAATATAAATCTAATAAACCTGAGTTTCACACCTCGAAAGCCAGGTTACCAAAAAAAAGTACTGTTAAATTCCTATATACAGTCAAGTCTCTATAATTTGTACCCTGCTAAATCAAAAATCGCGATAAGTCGAAAATATTTTAAACCCTTGAAAATTTGTTCTCGATAATTTGAATTTGTGTGTAAATAGAGATTTGATATTTAAAATATATACTATAGTTGACAAGCCAATATAAACAAGTAAGAAAGCTCTAGTCGAGACTACTCGACTACGAGATCCCCTGAACCCTTGGAGCAATAGCTATTTCAATAATTTTTCGCGTCTTACAGCTTACACAAGAAACACGCACACACACACACACGCGCACGCACACACAGGCATACATACACATACACACACACACACACACACACACACACATACACAAACAATTACATACATATACACACACACAAGCATAAACACGCATGGGCGGCAGTGAGCGCTTACTATGAGAACTTAATTGCTTAATAACTTTTTTGTGGACGTACGATCATCATGAAACTTTTAGATTATGATTATGACATGGATATGCATGTAATTGCCAAAGCACAAGTCTCTAGTATTTGAAATACGCTTTTTACAAAAGTGAGGGTGAGGGGGTGAATTTAGAGGTGGGGGGTAAATTTTAACAAAAACCGAAATTGTATAAATTGCATATAGGCATACATTAAAAATTTGGAGACTCTAGCAATAAAGGTGTAGAAGATATAATTTTATAACTGGTTTTCGATAAGGTTTTTTATCGATAAAAAAATATCGGGACGAGTTATCGATTTTTAATGATAAACTTGATATGCGCGCTGTAATTACGAACATTTAAAAAAAAATTTGAAGTCTCTAGCTCTTATATCTTCTGAAATCGACGCGTTCATACATACGGACAGACGGACAGACGGACGGACGGACAGACGGACAGACGGACAGACAGACGGACAGGGCCAAATCAACTCAGCTCGTCGCCCTGATCAAGAATATATATACTTTATGGGGTCTGCCACGCCTCCTTCTGCCTGTTACATACATTTCAACAAAACCATTATACCCTGATTTCCCATTGAAAATGGGTTCAGGGTATAAAAATAAAGCGAATATATCAACAACGAGAAGAATTCTTTTAAGTCAGAATCTTTTATGAGCACAGTAATAAACGAAACTGTACGTACAAATATAAATATGTATACATACGTAAAAATCGCTCGCAGTTGGATACAGGCTGTTCATCTGCTCAGATTAGATTTCTGCCATTCTTATAAGAAATTACGAATTATCAATCAATGGTCATTCATTTTTATTTCAACATTGCGACAATCATGTTATTGTGAGCATTTCAAACATGGCTGCTATATTAAACGCAAATAATATAGAACAAGAAGAGGAGGTAATAGTTCTAAAGTTAAAGAAATCATGTACATATATAATTGAGATTCAATTATATATAAACGACATATGCTTTGGCTCTTATCTTGATGTTGACTCATTTTTTTATGAAGGTAAAATCTATAAGCAAACATTTCAAACTTTATTTGTAGATACTAGGCGGCGGATCCCAAGGTTATGTCTACCCTGGAAACTTTAAAGTTGCTATAAAGCAACTCAGGTCTTCAGAGGCAGAGATAAATAAATCATTTGAAGCGGAGGACACGAACTTACTTCGCGCTCAACATCCGAATATTATAAGATTATACGGCATTTCAAGAGAAATATGTACTAATCAAACAGTTTACAGACTAATCATGGAATATACTCTTAATGGAACTCTTCATTATTACATCCAAGAAAAAAAAAGGAGACGATTTAGCCCGTCAAATTCTAATGCTTCAATGCGCCGAGGTTTGTGCTCTCCAGTTATTAATGATAAGATAACCAAAGTTTTCTATAACAGGATATCGCTTATCTTCATAGTCTGACGTGGATACTGCACCGCGACCTGAAACCCGCAAATATTTTACTTACAAATGACTACTGTACGCTAAAGATTTGTGATTTCGGAGCGGCACGAGAACTAGGCACATATTGACTTTCTTGCTTAGCCTTGATCATTCCGCTATTAAAAATCTAGAAGAGTCTGATCATAGGGATGATCCAAGAATTAATGACCAGAACTGAATAATGAAATTTTTAGTTACGTTACTCCTATTAAAAATTGATAAACAATTAGATGATCTCGCCTTTTGATAGGCATATGATCGATAGTTGAATCGATTTATTTGTGAATCATCATCAGTGGCTCAGTTGACTCAAAGCTCAATGTCCCGGGAAGCAATAGCAGAACCAAGAAACGGAGAGCGCTTTGCTTACGCACCCTTAAAATTCAACCACAAGAAATTAAAGAGTAACAACACCAACAAAGTGGAGAAGACAAATTATTGGCTTGTCTCTCGCATAGAATTCAAAATCAATTTTTTTTATTTTGGCGCCAAAGAGTCCACGAAAATAAATGAAAGACTCGCTGAATGAAAGTTGATGTGTGTGTGGTAGAGTGAGATGAAGGATTTAGGGTGTGGTGGTGGGCGGTTAGCAAAACGGAAGCTACAGATGCTCTAGATTTGGACGAAGGCGCCAAACTGGCGGCAAAGAACACACACGCAGTCAAATCCCCCATCCCAACAGTTCCATTCACAATCATATTCACAATCACATTCACAAACAGTTGAGCTGGCGACAAAGGCAGTAGTAAAATGAATATAGCTTACTTGGCGGGCTACACGTACAGTGAAATTTGGCCAAGATGCACCCACCATTTGACACATACATACATATTAAGAAGTCAAATGGAGTAATGGTTGGGAGTTGTATTGGCACAACTGGTATTCTTATATATAGATATAAATTTATATACATAAATCTATCCAGCGGTTGACCATCATTTTATTGATTTACGTATTGAACTAAAGCTAAAATATATATGGTTCGGTTCGTTTCTGGCAGAAATCACTGTACACGCTTACACCCACTTATATAATATATATATACACCAATGTATCTCTGTTTCTAATGGACAACAACAAATCTTGAGCAAAGTACAGCGAGATGTTAAAGGACGTCATCAAGTGCGTTGGAGGACAACAATTTGTGTGTAGTAAAAATGTTTTGTCCTCAATGCCAAAGGGTCAGCATGTGTTGTCCTTGCAGCATCATAACTGCAACAACAACAACAACTACAATATATTTAACGAGAAGGAGGTCCAACGATTGCAATCGAACATTATCAACTGCCCCATGCTCGTTCACGTATATAAAATAAATATAGTTGTCCTTCGATTTATCATATACGAGCTCTAAGGTTGCACGCTAACAATCGCTAATAAACCTCATAACAAATGTAATTCACAAGTCCCGGGCTTTCCTCACACGACCAGCAAGACGGATCCATATACCCACATTATACGTATTAGAAGTTATGCTATTCGTTTTGGCCGACAATGAAGCTGCGTAACTTTGACGCCGACTGCGGGACTGCCACTAAACAATTTGCCAGACATTTTGGCAACAGATGTACAAAAAGAACAGAAGAAAATCCTTGCTGTATATATATATATATACAAATCGAATAGCACTGCAAATGAATGGATATTATTGATTGGTTGGTGCGAAACTCTTTTAATGTATGAACAGCTCAGCTAAATTTTTGTCACGATTTATAAAAAATATAATAATAAAACAATAAATAAAATTGCCGAATCAAGGCTGAGGCCCATTAAAGCGACTGCGTAGATACATTTTTTATATACATTTAAATTAATTTAAGAAATGCTCAAGTTTACAAACTACAATTTTCAAAATATTTTCTGCTCTAAATTAATTCAATTAAATACAAATAAAAAACATAAAATAAAAAAAAAAAATATATATATATATATGGCATGATTCGAAATTCTGCAAAATAAATAAATAATAGTAACCTATGCATGAAAATGTTAAGCAACTATTCAAGTTCCATTGGGAGCTGGAAATATCCCAAGTTAAATATATATATGGTCGAGCTGCTGAAAAATGCCCAATCAAGGACCGAGAATATTCATAAAACGATCTGCAAATTTCAGTAGAATACTTGTATAATTATGAAATACACAGACAAATATGGATTACATACTTAAAGTAGACAAGATGGAAGATATACATATGTATATAAACATAGACTGTTAGGCTGATGGATAATGTTATTAGGTTTTTGAAATTATTCTTTCTGGATGAATGCAGGCTGATGAAATGCACGGCCTCAGTGCCGCAGCAAGCAGCCGAGAGAGGCGGCCAGGCAAAGACTTGTGGTCAGGAAGGAAGCGGGACTGGCTAACGCCGGCGCTGCATTGCAGCCATCCTCGCTGCAGGTGCAAATGGTCTGCTTGTAGCCCTCGTTGTCGGCCGTGAAGCAGGCGTTATGCGTTTTCTCCTGTATCCAGCCGCAGCTACGCTCGATGCGCCGCTCCTCATTCACATCCAGCTGAATGATCGTCTTGCGGCAGAATGCCTGCTCATCCCCCTTGGGCGCACAGTCCCTCAAGTATTGATCGTCCCGCTGGGCGCGTGGCGTATTCACCACGAGGCTGACGCAGTCCTCATTATCATGTGAGTTGCACTGGTGGCAGCGCAGGCCGGAAACTGAAAATGTAAATATTGGTGATATGAGCAACCAGTAGTAACTAGAAATGAATAAAAGGAGTTTATGCGACGGATGTGAACGACTGCATAATGCCCGCCCATATAGTAATCAGAGTCTGTCTTAGACTTTTAGATATTTATTTAAAGTGGAAGCCAAAGATTCAAGAGATAAAACCAAATACTCGTTCACGCTTCAAACGAGAACTGAAATGGACAGCTTGGCAAGTTTATTAAGACATATTGATTTAGAGTAAATATATACTAAATAAGTTGTAGAAATATATCTAGAGAAAAAATATGGGGTGGGTGTAACAAAGCGCTTAATAGTCGTTCATAGATCAGGGCTTCTAAAAAAGGTGAGCGACTGCAATCGAATATCGAACTAATCGAAAATCATCTGGAATTGCCGATTCTAATCAGAATAATAATTATTTTCAGCGGAAAAGTCAAGTCTTTGGGCTCTCAACAAATATACCCAACATTTTAATATTTGATTGCTCTGCAACTGGATTTGCCTTGCAGCCTTGATTAGAATAGAAAAGCAATTTGTCAGCGATACTTCAACGCATATGCATATAGAGTAGACCTTTTGAATGGCATGCCAAATGCACCGCCCTTTTCACATGGCCAGACATTTTGACAGCAAATTATTTTATTAGTCCGCCAAAATAACTGAGCCACCTGACTGACTGACTGACTGACTGACTGACTAAATCCCGAGGCCTGTGCTGTCCTGTTCTGTCCTGTCTTGAGCTGAACCTACTGAAGACTTGGCTAAATAATTGCATGTCAACTCCGAGCACTTCTTGTTGAGTTTCTTATTCTGTTGCTATTACCTCTGACACGCAACAGAGTACAAAAACTTAAGCTAGACAGAAGATGGCATAGGTATCGACCTTTGGATACTCTAGCTTAATCTTAATCACAATTTAAACCAATTAATTTTATTTTCCAGTTTGCTTTGAGATCAATAGTTTTTAACTACTTTTAAAATGTTTCCGATGTCGTTGCATGAACGCTTTTTAGGGGTAACTCTCTTTAGCTCTCAAATTCTCTCTTTGCATCACTCAACCTGTTGTCCACTCTCTCCCTTTCACTCTCTTTCTAGTCTCGTGTAATCAATCGCCCATTCACTCACTTTCTCCCTCCGTCTAGCTCTATCTATCTCTATCGTCTTTTCAAAATAATATTCCTTTCTTTATATATATTTTCCTCTATCTCGATTTTCGTAGACGCTAAAAGACTCTTTTAACGAATATCAAGTTACTTCAAGAGACTTGACTTTTGGATTAATGCCGTTTAACTTGGCGTATGCGCAACTTCTTGTTGCTTCTTACTTTGTTGGTTACACGAAATCCCTGACTTTTGGCCTATGCATCGTCGCTGTGGCCGACCCTTTGGTAATTAAGCCGGGCTAATAAAAACCAGTTGCCATAAAAAAGCAAGAGAATAAAAGCAGTGAAAGAATACAGAACTTTGCATTTTAATGTTGGATTTGTAATATTAGATTCGAGATATCGTATCTGACATTTGCATTTTACATTGCACCTTGCGGCTTGCGGTCAACTTAAGCTTGAACTTGTAGCGCAGTGCTTGACAATAGTGCGCCAATGAAACGCGTAGCACTCATATAACACAAAAAAAAATAAGCCCTCTAAATACTCAGTCAGTATATAGAACTATAAACATATACACACGTATTTATATACCTAAAGATCTATAAAAGTTTCTTATTTGCGCAGCTGATTAACACTAAAGAGCTTTAATGACTTAACATCCTCAACTGTGCTGGAATGTTGTGTGGGGGAAGTTACATTTAAGTGGTTCACAACGAACAAGCAAAATACAAAAACTCCATCCAATTGAGCGTCATGCCTGATCTACTGTGTTTATACATGTAGCTATGTATATGCAGGCAGGAAATACCAAACATTGCGTTTAAGTATATTATATTTTTGTATTTTGAGCTATGTTCAATTTTAAATATATATTTTGTGTAAACCTTGATACTACTTCAATTTCACAATAGAATAGAAAATTTATAGTTTTTTACAGAGTTTGAAATATCTATAGTCTTACAATTTCATTTACTAATAATCGAAGAAATTTTTGAAAGCTATTTTTCATGTTTTTCCATTTCACTAATAAACTTAAAAGAACATACGTATTATAACTTTACAAAATAGTGATAACTGAATTATGTGGCAATCAGATATGTTAGAACTTCTCAATTGTACAGGGCAATTTCATAACTATCTATCAATTCTGGTTAAAATTAGTTACAATATGTTACTGGGTATCTAGCAGCCTAATAATCAATCTCATTAATCAAACAATTGACTTGCTAACACCTGTTCGGGTGTCTATTTTCCCGTTACTCATGTCACACCCAAATGATAAACACCAAAATCAATTCTTATCAATTTAATTAATTATAAAAAAAAAAAACAAAATTGAAAAAAAATGCTTTGTACACCCTATCTATTATCTAATAAAGAGTGTTTCGGGCGTTCCACATGAATGAATTTAATTGAAAGGCCGAAAAACTAGACAATCACCTGGCTGAATCAATTAAATAATGATTGAATTAATTAAACAGCAAATCCAATATTATATGAATGAAAGACGATACCCATTACGAGCTTAAACTGCATATGATTACACTAATTATACTGATTTGCTTAGCTTAATTAGTGATTGATTAAATAGCTGATTTATTTACGATCAGCACCTGTTTCAAACCGAAATATGCGATTGAAACTTTTTTTTTTTAATCGAACAAGTGGAAACCCTGTGTTATATTACTCTTAGCTTCATGTTTATAATCCTAGTAATATTCTCCCTAATTACAAGAGCACACAAGTATAAATTATTTACCTGATAAGAGATTAGCAATAAGAGCGATTATCACGATGTAGGCGAGCGTCTGCGACATTTTTGCTGTTGTTGTTGTTGTTGTCTGTGTTTCTAGGCAGCTGACTCCTCTCCGGCGAAGTTGTTCCACAACTAAGTGAATAAAAACGTCTGAAGTATGATCTTGACTCTGTAAAGTCGTTAGCTTTATCTTTAGATTATCTAGATAATGCAAAGTAAGCAAAATGTGTAAAAAGCAAAATAAAAACTATTATGAGCAAAATAATCAAATGTACTTAGCTTAAAAATACCCTGTACGTATTAAGAAGAAATAAAATACATATATCATTAACAAAAGGTAAACCTTAGATATCTACCAGGTATTTATAGTTACGAAAGGAAAATTGAATTTTTGACTTGAGGATAGCCTTAAAGAGTTGATAAAATGGAAATTCAGAGAGAAACTGAAGGTTTACTTACAAAATTGCACAAAAATAAAAGGGGAATATAAGAGATAACCGTGATTAAAATAATAATTTTTGAAAAATACACAAATATTGCGATACTTTTCAAACACACCTCGTGGGTCAATTCACTCAATATACCCTTTTTATTAACTTTGAATAAGGTAAAGAGTATAATTGAATATGAATATATTTACGGATTTATTTTACAATCTGGTTTTTGTTGTTCGTCTAACAGTTGATTAGCATACAGTGTTATGCATTTGAATTAGCAAGACTGTATTTGCTTAGAAATATATTGAAGATAAACTTTTAAGCATTCTTAAACAATCATTTTCTATTCAGATTTTATTAGCGTTATTAACATTTTATATGATACACTTTGCACTCAATTAAAAACCGAATTTATATGAAGCTTTTCAAACACAAATTGAAAACTCACAATATTTTAATATTTAACAAATAATAGTTGTTAAGTCACGAGTTGAACAACTTGACGCGCTCAACGTCCAGATGAATCTGAAAACTTGTGTTGAGTTTTTCAAAACAAAATGATTTGAAAAACGCGAACACGAGAAGGTACGAAGAATCAGACAGCAGCCAGCAGCGAAGAGAGTGTTAGAGAGAAGGCAGCTGAGATTAACTTGCGTGTGAATGCATGCATGTATGTGGGCATGTATATGTGTATACGTGTGTGTGTGTGTGTGTAAGAGAGCAACATTGAACGACAACAGCAGCAACAGTAGCAGCAGCAGCAGCAGCATTCATGAGTAAGGGCAGCTGAAGAGTGCAGCAATAGTCGTAAGAAGCAAGCGAAAAACTTCCGTTACTTGATCGCAATTGAGCTTGGTCCAGGGAAGGCATGAGACGAGGCATGAGCATTGGCCGTGAAGGTTGCCCATCGGCGTGCATTGATAACGCGCTGTGGATTCGATGCATGCTCGAATTTCGCTCTTACCGAAAAATAAGTCAAATGAAGCGCGCGTTTTTTTTCGAACTAAGAGCCGCTTTCAACCGGTAACTATCAAACTATGACGTCACAATGAAGCTAAGAGATGCGTCCGATGCTCGCAATACGTGCTGTACACGTGCCAAACTATTTCTATTTGCTTACACTACTATTTATTTGTGTAATGCAATTGTTAAATAAATAAAAATATATTACACGCATTCTTGATTCAAACTATCAACAATCCATCCACCTGTTGGTCGCGTGGGAATTAATTATTTAATTAATTATTTAATTAATACATACAATTTATGTTAAGCTTTGTAGGGATAGATGTATGTACATATATGCTCTCAGAGCTGTATACATATGAAGGGAGCTGTATATGATCCAGAGTATTAAAGCATCACATAAGATAATTACCCGATGTTATATACTTATAATTTGTTTCTTTTCAGTAATCATATATACATTGCTTAATGATGTTATTGACTGTGTTCGTTGTCTGACTTCATTTGTTTTCTGTGATTTTAGTTCTGGATGATACGGAGAATGCACAACCAAACAGTTTTATTTGTCTTATCAGTGGTGTGTTTAGCTAAAACTGGTATACGGCTACCAAAACTCAACCACTGTGGTTTCATCCAGCTGAAGATCGAGGCCAGCTCGACCAAGTATCTCGGCTTACAGAGAGCAACAATTCACACTGGGCAGCTTATCAAGCGAAGTTCAGAGCATTTCAAATTTCATATTTGTCTTATTTTATTTTGATTATCTAATTCTTTTTACGAAATACACGTTTACGTAGATACAGTTACTTTGATATATCTTTATGTAATGTTTTTCATTGCTTACTTGTTGATTTTTTTTTATTTATTTATTTATTTTTTTTTTTTAATTTCTTGGAATTTTTCTGAATACAATCACTGCTTAAAACTGGTTCAAAGCAGATCCCGCCGAAATGTCGTTTTGGTTGAGGTGTTAGTTTACCATTTTCCGTGATATATGGATATGCATTGAAACAAAAACAGTTTAAGAATTAAAATATTAAATTTGTTCAACAAAATACAATTGTTAAATATTTGTACGTAAAAAACATTGTTTTTATAATTCTTTATATAATTCTTTTAAAATAGTACATTAATATTTTCTCTTATTTAATATTGGGTTTATAGCAATGAATTGAAATTAAAGACTTTTCCAAGACTTGTCTAATATTTATATACTCTAAAATTATAAAACTCACGGTTGTATTACTTTTTTGATAATCCTTAAATCCACATACATATCAATTTTTATATTTATTTGTGTGCTTATATTGAGGTGTTTTTATACTGATTTGCTTGGCGTGTTAAAGCACAACTGAGTCCAGGAGTTGGCACATTGAGGTGTTCAAAATAAACATTTCTGTATTTGTCAGCATTTGGCAGCATTGGCAGCTGATCTTTCAGATTTCCATACATATACACAGACACATTCTCAGTCACTCTCAACAGCTTTAGTTAATGCTCACACACTCTCAAACATATTTTCGATACGTGCTTGTATTTGTGCTTGGTTTGTTTGTTCAAACCGGTTTGCTTTGATTTGATTTAGTATGTCTGCGAGCCCGTCTCATTGTCGCCGTCACACAAACACGCCACCGCCCACCCCCACCCATTAGTTTCCTCCACCCCATATTGCCGCAACATCTCAGCATCATTTTCAACACGCTCTTAATGCTGCGTGACGCAATGCTTTGAAGATTAACTGCAAAAATTTCGTCTCTGCATTAATAAACGACGAGATTTTCTGTGCCAACAACAACAAAAACAGTAGCAAGTGGACAGTATATGTATGTACATATGTCTGTCCAAATGGGTTCAATGAGCTGTCGAAAATAATGGGAATTTTAGTCTAGCTATGCACACGTAAGGAACCAGTAATTCACATTGGCTTTCCGTGAAAAGCTTTTAGCTGAAAACACCACATCGTTAGCTTAAAAGCTGTTCATTGAAAGCTTATGTGGCCACACGCGGCGTATGCTTAACGCACGTAAGCTGAGACAACAGTAAAATCTCTGTAGACGAACAACTAATTTTAGCTTATAACAATTGAGCTTGAAAAACTTTAAATAGGTATTTAACATTTGAATATATGTATGTATGAGTTTTGTAACTGTTCTACCTAAGGAGGCTTTACTGTACACATCTCTTTTGTCATACGTTTTGATTATGCGAACTTCATCCCTAGAGTGGCCAGGTCTATTTATAGGCCTAGCATCTAAATGAAAGTGGTAATGAAAACAATTGATGTGTAGACAGATGTGCGACAGAGATGCAAAATATGCGGACTTCAGAGTGTAAGCGAGATAGCTGCCTAAAAGGGCAAGGTACTGCGAATGATACAGATGCAGATGCAGATTGAAATTGAGAGTGGAATTGAAATTGAAATTTGGATTGGAAGAGCTCTGTCATTTTAAAAGCAACGCACGCTCAAAAAAAAAAGAAAAGAAATGTGTATAAAATAAGATAGCTCAATTGGACGGCGACTCGAATGACTTGATATGTGGATAAGCAAAGGAAACTTACGATTAAGCTTAATTAATATGTGGGGCCAATTTGTGCCTCCAGCAAATACTGGAATTACTCAAGGCAGGCGCATAAAGTATGGAATATTTTTAAGGTGGGGCTTCAATTAAATATATTCTTGGTAAATATTAGAGAATTACAAAAATTGCTTTAAGCATTGAGGCTGTATATAAAATATATAACAAAATAAAATGTTATATAAAATACAATAAAAAAAAAATAAATAAATAAAGTAAAACTGAAACAAAATAATCTACAAATTATTTTCATCATTATTGATTAAATGACAGTTTTGTCATTGCCACAAGATGGCAGCCCTTATTTTCTCTTCGTTTCCTGCGATTAACAATCTGGCAGCGCTTGCACGATTCCTGCAAGACGAGTGCGGGGATTGAACAGCAGAGTCGCTTGTGTCTCTTGCTCTCGCTCTCGCTCTCTAAAGCTCAACCTAAAGCTTGCCGGGCATTAGCCGCTGAATGGGCTACGATTTACAGTGGGCCAAATCGACTCAATTATGTAAATAATCCAATCAGGCAAAGCCCTAGCAGGTGGTAATTGCAGAAACAGCTGTTAAATGCAGCGCCTACTGTTAACAGTTTTTGATTACCACATGGTCAAGTAATTCGCCCTAACTTGACAGCTCAAAAAAGAATTATAACATTCTCTTATCTGTAACATTATAACACCTATGTAACAACCCTACTGTTAACAGCATTTATGTTGTCCATTTGAGCTGTTAATGTTAACCATAAGTTCTCAAGCTTCAAGCACTTGCTATGCTAACGAGTTTTTGCCAAAAGATTGTTATGAATGACCCATTGTACTGACGCTGCAGCTCTGCAGCCCTGTGCCTGTGGCTATCTGACCGACTTGCTCATCTGCTCATTCGTGCCACATTTGTCTGGCAAGCTGCGTCTTTCAGTTCCAGTCGCTTGTTGTCGCTTCGACGTTCTCGTTCTGTGACCGTGCGCCCCTCTTCAAAGTGTTGAAAATTTATTTAAAAAAAAAAAAAACATACGCTTAGAAAAAAAAAAAATAAGAAGATAACTGCCGAAAAGGCATACCGAAAATCGCACTAGCAAATAGAAGATAAAAAAATCGAACCAAATTTTCGGCGTGTGTTTCATATTATTCAATAAAACTAAATATGCAGTACCTCTATGTGATTAGCGCGCTAATTTTGGCAATTGCCGTGCAGCAAGGTAAACCCCTAACAGAGCTCCCTCCATATACACCCTAACACACACAACGCCAAGCTCCAATTTCAAGCTCCAAGCTCAACCAAAAATAAGATAAACACAAATATAGGGGAATTCGTCTGTACGATTTTGACGATTACATAATGCGTGCGCGATGGAAGTGGAAGTAGGGGTTGCAGAGTCAAAGTCAGAATACGGTTAAGCGGCAGAGCGAACGTGCGGGCTATCAGGAGAGGGGGCGTGAGAAAGATATATATATATAGAGAGAGAGAGAGAGGGAAAGCTAGACGCCTTAGCGCCGCCTTGGAAGCCGGTCGCAATGGCGCCTTTTTAGACCACAAATCCAGCTGGCAAACTGACAATTGCAGTTGCCCAAACTGTTAACACCCATACCGAAAGGATAATCAATCGAATACAGTAAAAACTAATTGTAACGTACATCCACTAGAATTGTTTTTCCAAGCTAATGACCAAGAAAAACTACTCTAACAATAAATACCACCACTAAAAGTGTTGGGTAAAACTCAAAAGTATCTTAGCATAGCTGTCCTTGACTGGAGTCCTCACTATACTGCCTCCTCTACTAACAGTTAATAACTAGTTTTATCCGTTGCTCATTATCGCATTTCATATCATAAAAAAAAGAAATGAAATCTTTTCAGTCACATCTTAATCTGTCCCTTCCTTCCTTCTCTTAACTGGATGAAATGTGTGTGTAAATGTGTGCATGTGTGTATGGGAACGCAGGACATGCGCAGTCATGCGCTCTATTTGCCAGCCTGTCACTCGGTTAGCAGGCCTGGGAAACTACTGCAACCAGACCCTCTT